AAAAAATGTGGACAATCAGGTCGAACTATTGCTAAAAATTTGAGGTGTAGCAAAATAGCTGTTTATAAAGTATTTAAACGTTATTGTCAAACTGATTCTTCTACACCAAAAAAACAAACTGGTTGCTCACCACTTCCTTAATATACTATCTCAACAAGAGCTTAAAGCTTTTATTCAAGAAAATGGTGAAAATCGTCAGCTTTGTGCAAAAAACTTGCAACTGTTTAGACAGCTTGTACAAAAAAACCCATTTCTGCATTTACTATACGTCGTATCCTCAAAAAAGTTAGACTTAGTGCTCATATTCCTCATCACAAACCTGTAATAATAGAAGCACATTGTCAAGCTCATCTCAAATGGGCTCGCGCACATGAAAAATGGACAACAAGACAATGGAGAAAGTGCTTTTTTCAGATGAAAGTACTTTTACACAATTTCAATAAGAACGTCAAGAAAAAATATAGCGTGAACCAGGAGAAGAATTGAACTCTGATTGCATTTCAGTTACTGTAAAACACAGTCCAAGCAAAATGTTTTGAGGATGTTTTTCTTGGAATGGACTTGGACCAATTGTTCCTTTAAATGGTTCAGTTACTGGTAAAACATATGCTGAAATTATTCAAAAATATGTTGTTCCTACTTTACAGAAGTATTTTTCTCATGGTAATAGAATTTTCCAAGAAGATAATGCTGCACTGCATCATTTAAAAGTTGTTGTAGCTGCTCGTAAAAGTGCTGAAATTGTGATGCTTCCTTGGCCCGCCTAAAGTCCAGACTTAAATCCAATTGAAAATCTTTGGGTGGAAATAAAAATGATGGTTCGACATTGTACTTCCTCACCATCTAATAACTGAAAGCTTGAAAAATATGTTAAAAGTACTTGAAAAGATATTCCTCCAGAATATTACAAAAAATTGATTGATAGCATGCCGCAGAGGATCAATGCGGTTATTGTCGCAAATAGCAATAGAATTAAATATTAGTATCATAATTTTTTTTGTAAAAATCAATTAATAAAAGCAAAATAAATATATTTTACCTTTTGTTTTATTTCCACTTTATTTTATTTATATAAATTTTTCAATTTAAAAAGTGTTCGCATAATTTTGGTCATTGACTGTATAAATAAATAGATTATAAATTAGTTGTAAGTAAATTATAATATCATAAATCCTTATTTAAATTAGTAAAATTAGCTAATATATTTTATCTATTTAGTGTTTGATTACTAATATAAATAATAAAAAATGAGTATAATTTAGAAAATATGATCCTGTCTTACTTGAAAAATTATATGTTTTGTTACTATTATCATATTATTTAAGTTTATCAGTAATAACAAATTCTTCTTTATAATTGTTTTGATCTTTATCCTTTTCATTTTCCTAAAACATATTTTCAGTTGAAAAATTATACTGTTTTATTTCAATATTATACTGATCTTAAATATTATTATGATCAATGTTTTTCAAATTTGAATATGTCAGAAATTCCATATTATTGTTATAAAAAGGTGTTGTCAAAGGTATTATATTTGTATTCAGAATACTTGAACTATTTAATAAGACATTTTCTGCTAATAAAATTAATAATGATATATTAGTAAAATCATTTTGCTTGTCTTCATTTTTCTGTTTTAGTTTGCATAGTTAAAATGAAGTATTCTGAATTTACTATTATTTAATTAAACCTGCTTTACAGTTTCTAAGAAACATTTAATACTAAAATATAAAAAAGTAATTAAAATTAAAGGATTTGTAGTAAACTAGATGAAAATAAAATAAAAAAGTAAATAAAAAATAAAAATAAAGATCTAACGAAATTGAAGATAGTTAATTAACAAAATAAAGATCAAAGTGAAGAAGATTGAAAAAAAAATTAATAATTAATGTATACTATGAAAATTAAAGACATAATTAAAGAGAAATTTTAATAATAAGGTGAATAAGAAAGAACTGATTGTAAAGAAAAATAGTTTAATTTGTTTTATTAGACACAAGTTTGTTGATTCAGTATTTATAGAAATTCTTTGAACTTTTGAAAATATTAGAACTTATATTCATATAGTAAGTTTAAGTTTAATTATTAATCTCTAATTTGTAATTACTATTAGTTATTTTTTAATTTGTAATTACAATACTAATGAGATTAATTAAAAAAATTTAATCTAAATTAGTTTAAAAAAATTTGAATAATTTGAATCTAAATTAGTTTTAAAAAAAATTGAATAAAAGAAAAGTTCAAATGATTTAGATCTAAATTAGTTAGTAAAAATCAAGTGAATTTTAAAAATAATCAAATATCAAATATAAATTAATTAATCTTCAATTAATAATATCTCTAATTAATTAAAAAAAAAGGTATTGAAAATCAAAATAATCATATATAAAGATATTTTTTTAAATTTTATATTATTTTATCTTTAATTATAGGTAAAAAAAATAAAAAAAAACTACATAGAGTTCATCAACTAAGGAAAAACTTCACAACATTCATTAGCAATTAGGTGAAGTAATTTTGATAAACTAGAAGATAATTCAAGTTTATCACCTTCTACCTCTATTTTAAAGTGAAATAACTTTAATAAACTAAAAGATAATCTAAGTTTATCACCTTCTACCTTTATTAAGTGAAATAGAAACCAATCTGAAACTAATGTTGATGATGAAATTGAAATAATTGGTTCAGGTAAATAATATTTAATAAAACTTTATATATTGCTTATAAAAATTAACTAAATTATACTAACTATTTATAGAAGCTTATAATAAAAATATTTTGAATAATAAGCGAAGTAAAAATAATTATAATAGTATGTGATAGAATAATAAATATATATTTTTATGTTTATTAATAAATACTTATAGAATTTATAATATTTTAATACAAAAACCTTTAGTTAATACTACTAAAAACAAATTTGTATTGATTAAAAAATCTGAATCTATTGAAGGTTTTCTGATAATAATACTGACTTTTGGCAAGAATTTTTAACTTTAGCTGATAATTCAGATAATAATATAAATCAAAAAAAAACTAATTAAGAAACTATTAATCAAAAAACTAATTCTTCATTGGCAAATCAACAAATATCAATTATTATATCTAATATTTTACTATCATCTAATACTCTACCAACTATATCATCTAATAATTTATCAGCTACATCATCTAATACTTTACCAGCTATATTATCTAATACTCTACTAGTTATATCATCTAATACTCCACTAATTATATCATTTAATAATTAATTAACTACTCAATTATCTACTGACTTATAGCAAACTTTAATTATAACAATATCTCAATTATCAAATAATATTATTCCATTAGTTTTGAGTGTTATTTAATTAGTTATAGCTATAATTCCATCTAATAATGCTATATCATCAAGTATTTTAGCAACTTCTGTAAATTTTGCTTATTATTTTTATATAACAATATATTTACATATATGCTATTTATTAATATATTATTTTTAATTACTTTTTAAAAAGAGTACTTTTATAGATTTATTTGTTAATGAATGTAAAACTCTTTTATATGAATTTGAAAACTAATATCACAAATAATTCTTTTTCTTACACAAGGATATGCTAATCATTTAAATGTAATATTAAATGCAGATGATGCAGAAGTAAAAGGACATATCTGATTTTCAACTTAAAAAATATATCTTTATAATAATTATTTAATGATTACATTTACTTCATAGATCGTTATGAGTATATATTATACATTTAAATTTTTCTTTTGTATTATTATATATAATTAACATGTTTTAATTCTATAGATATACTCCTAATAGTTACCTAATAAGACATATATATAACATTTTATTTCAGATGGTGATATATATAATGTATTTTCAACTCAATTTAAAAAGTCAAAAAAGATAAATTTGTAAATGACAAAATATGAATGATACTCAAAAATTTTATTTCAAGTATTGTCTTTATTATGATTAAATATTACATTAAAATTAATGTTAGTTATGTACAATATGAAGATAGCTCAATTATAACAGAAAATAAAATTAAATGAAGAAGACCAATATTAATTGAATTACATAATTTGGATTATCAAACTGCTGATATAAGTGTAACATGTAAAGGTAAAACAAAAATTATAAAAGAAATTGATATTAAGACCTTTATTAACTAATACTAGTAGTAATAAATAGTATAAAATATAGTATATACTACTAGTAGTAAATGATAATAAATAATAAATAATTTAACTAAAGTAATAATATATAAATATAATAATAAATTATTAAAAATATATCACAAAACTATTACAAAAATTATTTTCAATAAATTTTATTTGATTTTGAATAATATTCGTAAATACTTTCAAGATAATATTAAATTAAATACAAAATTATTACAAATTATTTCAATTTTATTATTTTGAATGATATCTGTATATTCTTTTGATTACTATTACAAAATTATTGTAAAAATGTTTCAATTTTATTGTTTTTAAATTACATTTGTAAATTCTTTCAAAATAATATTAAATTAAATATATTATAATATCAAACATTATAAAATAATTTCAATATAACAAAAGCATTATAAAAATACTAAAAAAGCAATTCAAAAATTACTTATTTTTAGTAAAGTACATCTATAGCTAGATAATTCTAATTTAAAGTATAATTTTCTTCTTAATATTAAAAGCTATTAATAGATTACTAGTTAATCAAGTAGGGTAATCTGAAATAATAATTATTATATAGAAAACTTTTATAAATCTGTTATTATTACTGTCAAATAGGAAATATATTGTAATAGAAAGATATTAATCTAAAAGATTAGCTGACGCTATATGACTAAAAAGTGTATAATTGTATTACATTAGATAACAAAGATAGTAAAGATGAGAAAAATAATTTAAATGAAGATTACATGAAAACTTAGAAGTTGCTAGAAAATTCTTTTATATTATTAATCATTTTATATTATTTATTATTTATTATTAGTAATCAATTAGTATTTTATTTATTTATATTAGTAGATTTAGTATAAATAGGATAGCTTTAGAATTTGGTTAAAACAGATAACTATAACAAAACAATTTTATAAACAAATAGAATTCAATTAGTTTTTATCATCAATAAGATAAATACTAATTACAGTTATATGCTAACAAATATAATTGTACTAAATTCTTAATTCTATAATAAAATCTCAAAGTTATTCTAAACATACATTATTATTTGAAATAATAATTATTTATAAACCCTTTAAAGTTCTCTTTAAAGTATTGATTAAAACTGAATCCCTTTGTTAATCTTGCATTAATATTAATGTTCAATCATTAGTATCATAAGAAAATAATATAATATCTTTCTATTTTTAAAATTAGAAAATACCTTGTCTAATATAACAATTTTTAAGGTTAAAATATTTTAGACTATTTAAATATTCTGCAATAGCTTTAAATATTATATTGAAAATGAATTTAACATACTCAAAATCAAGATATATAATATTAGAATACATTTTTGTGATTTTTAAAAATTGATAAATCATAAATATATATAATTCTATAAAAGTTAAGATATTTTAACTTATAGTATGATAGAACTATTTTTTCTATAACTCTATTAGTAATATTATAAAATTGAAAATCAAGATATTGAATATTTAGATATAATTATGTAATAATACATATTAATTTATTATTAAGAACTTTTTATACTACATAGTTCTAGATATTTTAAATAATGATATTATATAATTTTTTAATAGCTGTATCATTTATTCTATTACAGTATTTAATTTTTAAACTATTTAGATTTAGACATAAATCTGTGATAATATAAATAGTAATATTGATAAATCTATTATATAAGGATTAAAAAATAAAATGAAATTCTATAATATTATGTATAATACTGTTAGTGATAAGATTCTAATAATCACTAATTTTTAGATATTTAACTTATATGAGTATATAATTTTATAGAATGATTTACTGATAATATCTCTGCTTTAACCAATATCTAAAAACTGCTATTTATTATATTTTTTGCAATTTTAGTGATAGAATAATCACATAAACCTCTATTATTAAAAATATTAAGATAGATCAGGAATATGTTTAAAAATCTTAATTAAGGTTTTATAATTAAAGTTTATACTTCCTTTTAAATTTAAATAAATTATATTTAAAAAATTTTTAATAATTTTTCAATTATCTCATTAAAAAAATTAAAATAATATATAATTATAAAATATTGTAAATTATATTTATAGATACATTACTTTCAAAAAAGTATACAGTTAAGCTCTTCTTAAATTACTCAAAATCAGATATATTAACTAGCTATTTTTTTAAAAAAAAAATAAATCTCTTAGTTCTGACGATTAAGTACATATGTTTATATTCATATAACAATATGTAGATCAATTTTAATAAACAAAAATGTAAATATTTCTCTTTTTTTTAAAACTGCATCATTTGATATGGGAAAAAGTTATGAATTAAATGAGTTTAAATGTAAAAAAATAATTGGTTTACAGATAGCTGAAAGAACCCATGAAGTTATTGCTTGTCTTTTAAAGATTTTACAAAATATTATTACAGATATAATCACTCAATATGCTAATTCTAGTAATGCCAAAAAATCTTCGTAAACTTAAGGAAATATTACAAGAAAAATAGAAAAAAATTCCATCTAAAATCTATATTAAACTTATAGAAAGCATATCACATAGAATTAAAGCATGCATTAGAAGCTAAGGATGGCTTATTGAATATTAAATATATTAAATGTTTTATTTATATCAAAAATCTCAAATAAATAAAATATTATTTTGGTTGACCGGATACTTTTCTGAGGGTAGTATAATTTAGAATTTATTTAGATAAACTTTCAGTCACATTGTATTATAATTATCATAAATTTATCAATTTGATATAATATTATAAAATTAGATTAATGTATATGAACTAAAGTTTAAAAATGAGTAAAGTAGAATATAACATATTACTTTTGGTTAAAAATTTAAAATTTTATTAGTATTTTAGATAGAATAAGTATCTTTTTTTTTATTGAGATTAAGTATTTCAAATAATTTTTTATTTATTATAGAAAGAGAGTTATTATATTAAATCTGATTTAAAATAATAATTATCTGTCTAAAAGATTTTTTATTAAGTTATATATACTGTTAATACTTATGTTTTCTGATTAAAATATTTTTTAATTATATAAAAAATACTTATAGTTAATTTATTAGAATAACTTCTGCTAGAAATAATATCAATTATTCTAAAATATCTTCTAGAACAGGATTTAAAAATTCTTGCATTATAAATAATATATAAAAAAATAAAAAATTTAAATAGACTAAAAGAATAAAATTTTTATTTAGTAAAGAATCTAAATAATTATATAGTAAAGAAATTTTATTTAAAATTAAAAGAGTGTAATTTAAGTAAAAAATATTCTAAAAAATATCTTATATGGCTATTTTATAAAGGATTATTACATGAAAATATGTTTAAAGTTTTTTTTAGATAAATTACAAGTATTTATATTAGATGAAATAAGCATAACAGACTTACTTATATTACTAAATCAATCATTTATTAATCATATATAAATAAATTATCACATTATATAAAATTAGCTAATCCTAAATTAAAAGTTTTAAGTAATATAATATATAGTTAGACGAACTCTAAAAATTAATAAATTTAATATTTTAAATTATATAAAATATAATTATAAAATAGTTAAGTAAAAATTAGATGTTATAAATAAATTAGTTAAAGGTTGAAATAATTAATTAAGTAAATTATATAATAAATTAATTTTTTTAGATTTCAAAGATTTAGGTTAAATCATAAAAGCATGATAAAATTATACTAACTATAATATTTGATATTTTAGTTTATACAAAATATAATATAAAAATATTATAATAAAATTTAAAATAATACAAAAATTAGCTTTAAGTTAACTTTTTAAATATTTCATATATAAATATATATTATTATAAATATTAATAATTTAGTCTTTAAAGATTTGAGCAAAATCACAAATATGTGGCTAAACTATGTTAACTATTATATTTGATATTTTAAGTTATATAGAATATAATATAAAAGTATTACAATAAAATTTTAAATAATACAAAAATTAGTTTTGAGTCAACTTTTTGAATATTTTATATATAAATCATATGGATTCTTTGCAATAGAAAGGAAGAAAACTACCAAAATATTTTTTTTTGAATTAATATATTAAATCTAAATTTATTTTATTAAAAAAATAATATTTAACTTATGAAATAAAAAAATTTTTTAGTAGTTTTCTTACTTTTTACTATAAAAAACCTATATGTTAATATAAATAACTTTAAAAATTTAGATTAAATTAATTATATCAACTATTATATTTGATATATATTAGATTATTATAATTTAAAATATTTTAATTAGAGCTAATATTGATTAAAATCAAAAAAATCAGATATGCAAAAAATTAGCCTAAAATTAGTCTAAAATTAGCAAATTATTAAAAATCAGCTTAGCTAATTAGTATACATTAAGAATTAGCTAAAATTCAGCTAAAATTTAACTTATCTATAGCTAATTTATATACATTAAAAACTGGCTAAAATTCAATTTATCTTATTTATAGTTGATTGATGTTTAATTGAAATAATTGTATTATTCTAATTGAATAATAATATAAAAATTATTTAATTAGAATAATTGCATTTATTGTTTTCTAAGTATTATGATTTTATCATTTCTTAAGTATGATAGTTTTATCATTCCTTAAAAATAATTTTTATCATTTTAAAGAAATAATAGTTTTATTATTCTTAAGAAATAATAATATTATTATTTTAAAAGAATGATTTTATTATTATTCTAAAGGAATAATTTTTTTATTGTTTATTAAATATAATAGTTTTATTATTTTTTAGGTATAATATTATTATTATTCTAAAAAAATGATTTTTTTATGTTCTTTAAATATAATAGTTTTATTATTTCTTAAGAATGATAATTTTATAATTTCTTAGATATAATAGTTTTATTATTTCTTAAATATAATAGGTTTATCATTTCTAAAGAATGATAGTTTTATTATTTTAAGTATGATAGTTTTATTATCATTTTTAAGTAATAATATATTTATTGTTCTAAAGAAATAATGAATTTATTATTTCTTAAAAATAATGATTTTATTATTCTTTAGGAATAATAGTTTTATAAACTGACTTTTAGATTAAACTAATTTACTAAAATAATATCAAATATTTGGAGTACTTGCTGAATTAAAAGAATGATTTTATTAATATTGATTTAATGTATTATTTGAGTTTATTTTTGATATATATAGAAATATTTATATAAATAAGTTTAATTTTTTCATCTTTTAAAAATAATTTTAACTTAACTTTTATCTTTTTACAATTATTTTTAAATTTTCTCTTTTTATATACTACCAAAATATCAAAAAAGTATTCTAAAAACAAAAAGAACTTAAGTTGAAATTTATCAATCAAATAGTTAACTTTTCAAATAATAAACTAATTTTTTTTATTTTTTATACTTTCAACTATCAAATAAGATAAAGTAAAAGCTATAATTTAAATTGAATTTTAATTAACTTTTTATAATAATAAACTGATTTTTTTTTATTTTTTTATAATAGAAATATGCTTTTAATTATCAAAATCAGACAAAATATTTATTGAATTTTATTAATTAACCATTCACTTTTTTAAAATAATAAACTGATTTTTTTTATTTTAATAAAAAAAAAGATTATTTCAAGTGATTTAATGAAAAAGAGTAGATTTTTTTATTTTTTATTATTTATTTATTATTTTTTACATTTTTAAATAATTTTAAAAGATTTTGATAAGAAAATAGATTATATTTTTATTAATTTTATTTTTTCAAAAATAAAAATATTATGATAATAAATATTTAGGATAACTTAAAGAGATTTTAAAAGAAAAATAAATTATGTTTTTATTATATTATTATTATTTTACATGGTTTTTTCATTTTTTTGCTTATATTTTTTAAATAAGAAATTAATCAATGAGTTTTGATAATATTTTTGTTATATTTTTATAAATTATATTAGGTTTTTATTATTAATAAAATTTTAATATTTAATAAATTTAATAAAATATAATGATTTTATATGCTTATTTGACTAAATTAATACCAAATTGATACAATTTTAGACTGATTTATAGTTGTTTAAATTCTGGATTAATATTAAATAGATACTAATTTTAAGTTAATTTATAGTTAAATTTAAATTTTAAATTAGATTTTGATAAAATTTGGTATTTTATTTTATAATATTAATATAAAGCTATTATAAAAAATTAACTTATATTATTATGTAGGATTTTTTAATTGCAGTAAATTAACATAAAAATTTCATTGATTTTGGCATTTTTTTTATATAATTGCAAAATGTTATTTCTATTAAAACTTATTCAATAAAAATTAGTTT